CCTATCATTGGTACACATATATTGCTGTTAAAAAATTAAAACTCAGCAGTAAAATTCTAAACACATCTCAGTTCCAGCAAAACCCAATAGTAAAAAGCTAAATTCGTACCCGATTCCCCTAATTCTTCAGTGAAAAGGCAAATTGGATTTCTCATTGCCTCTCTTATTGATACGCTTTGTGTTCGAAGATCGTCATTCTCTTGCATTATCGAATTCTCATGGTGTTCCAGTTGAGTATACAATCAAGATTCACTATTTTAGTAGAACAAAAAAAAAAACCATAATAATTGAATTTTTTAAAGCCACAAAAATTGAATCTTTTTATCTTCATCTGAGTTCTATAATTTTGGAACCAAAACTTGACTTGCCTAGTCTCCAATGAAAGCCTTTTGCTCAACTCCAACTTTTATTTCTCATAAGGATGAGGATACTTTTTAAAAATTCAATTCTTATAAGAAAAAAATTAAAGCTTAAAAAGGGATCAAATTGTCTTTTTACTATTGGGCTTCGGAGGGAATGGGGATGGGTTTAGATTTTTATTGGTGAGTGTTTGATCTTTTAACGGCGATATATGAGCAACAATGGTAGGCACTGTTAGTTTTTACCTTCATTATGTTAGTGAGATCAAAGGTTCGCTCCACTTTAACAAACTTAAGGAATTAAAGATGCTCACATGTATATTTGAATAACAAAAATGAATATACCCTCATAAATAAGGGACAATTTTAGCCAAAAACTCAATAAAAATCATAGGAAACAATTCTGAATAATAAAGTTTCGATCTTTAAAGATCAATAAAACGTTAACCCCGGGCTCGCACATCGGAATCCGATAAATTTATAAAATTCGAACACCCACTCCGATACAAGTCCAACCATACCAAAATTGTTAAATTTCGATATCAAATCGCCCTTCAAATCCTCATTCTAATTTTTGAAAGATTTTACAAAAATTCTCATTTTCTTTCATTCAATTCACTAATTTAATGATAAAAATAATTATGAAATCATGAAATATAATCAATTTGAGATAAAGAACATTTACCCCAAACCAACACGTGAAAATCCCCTCCACAATCGCCCAAATCTAAGCTCTCTAACTCAAAAAGTGATAGAATATCAACAGCCCTCGAAAATAGAGTACTTATATCCTGCCTAGGTAAATATACATCACGATCGCGGGAGATGCTTCGCGATCGCGAAGCACAAAGTATATGCTGCCAAAATATCCCTACGTGAACGCGAGTGAACAGCCACGAATGCGGCACAAAATCTTCATCAACCTTCGCGAACGCATTGGTAACCTCGCGAACGCGGAGAGTAAGAAACATGATGCCCTTTCCGTTCCTTATACACGATTGCGTATCCCCTGATGCAAACGTGAAGCCAAAATTCTCAAATCATCGCGAACGCGGTCGATTCTTCGCAACCGCGAAGGACAAAGTACCTGAGACCACTATAACACTATGCTAACACGAAAGAACAAGTGCACACGAAAGAACAAGCGCGAACGCGATGAAGAATACCAGATGACGGAAATTAGCAGTACAAAAATAGAAGGAAATGGCCCGAAACTCGTCCGAAACACACCTGAGGCCCCCTGAACCCCGTCGAAACCTACCAACAAGTTCATAACATAACGCGGACCTGCTCGAGGCCTCAAATCACATCAAACAACATCAAAACTACGAATCGCACCTCAAATCGAACTTAATGAACTTATGAACTTTCAACTTCTACAACTCGCGCCGAATCATGTCAAATCAACCCGGAATGACGTCAAATTTTGCATGCAAGTTTCAAATAACACAACGGAGCTATACTAACTACCGGAATCAAAATTCGAACCCGATATCAACAAAGTCAACTCCCAGTCAAACCTCTCAACCTCCCAAACCTTCAACCTTCCAATTTTCGCCAAATAGTACCGAAACCTTCTAGAAATACCCAAATGCGAATCCGGGCATACGCCCAAGTCCAAAATCACCATCCGGAACTAGCGGAATCATAAAATCTTTGATCCGGGATCAAACACACAAAAGTCAAAATTGGTCAACTCTTCTAATTTAAAGCTTCAACAATGAAATTTATTCTTCCAAACTAATTCTGAATCACCCGAAAACTAAAATCGGCGATACACACAAGTCGTAATACATCATACGGAGCTATTCATGCCATCAAACCACCAAGCGAAGTGCAAATGCTCAAAACGACAGGTCGGATCGTTACAGTGATTTTTTTAAAAAAGATTTGAATTGACTGTACTTGACCAATTATATAACATTTATTTAGTTTGAGATATTTTGCTCTTAAAATCACTCTTTCACACAGAATTTAATTCTCTGGTAGGATTATATGGATTTTCTAGCTCGTAAAACAAAAGGTTATTTTAATATTCAAACTTGTGAGAAAAATCATTGGAATTTGTTTGTAATTATTTATCTAATTTACTTTTAAAAAACAATATCAAAGTAAATCAAATTATTCATATTTAGTATAATTTCAGCCATTCATCAAGTTATTAATTCGTACTATTTTAAAAGAGATATAGGTTTTGTGGCTAATTACATGAAACTTTTCACAAGTGATTGGTGCATAATAAAACAAGAGATCGGTAAATAAAATATATGAAATCTTTTTAAGAAGATTTTTTATTCAAAATTTTACTAATCATAAAGAATTATTTCTTTTGTTCAATTGTAAACCCTGCAATCAAATTTGAATTTTAAAAATGAAACGGTGCTTAAAGTATCAAATTTCTTAATACTGAAACTTTTTATTTTGTCGAACTCTTTATCTGCGATCTTTACTCAGAATGTGAATTTAATTAAATGAATTAATCGAATTATGAAACACATAAGTAATAACAATAATATTGTATCACTTATTGCCCTCTTTTGTTTTGAGTTTTTTATTTTAAGTTAATTCTTTTTAATTTTTCTAACTGTTTTGAGGTTTGAAGCAGTCGTTTTAGGGACAGGGGTTCATTTCTCATACCTTTTACAACCTCAACTTACCCGCTTCTCTCTCTCCCTCACGTGTCTACTTTTTCTTCACGTGCTTCGGACGGGCGTGATGCCCACGTGAGGTCAGTTTTATTAATTATGGATTGCTCCAAACTGAATTTGTTTTTATCTATGTGCTTCCACTCTCAAACAAACTTTTAAAGTCAAAGTTACATGCAAGAGGAAAAAAGCATTTAAGTTATGTTGCCAATGACGGATGGAGGAATGCATAAATGTAGCTTTAAATTTTTTTCTAAAAATTATATGTATAATAGAAGTTTTTTTTTTCAACCTATAATATAAGGTTTTAAGAATATATATCCATAAAAATATGTTTCCGATGATTAATATCGTTTGAAAAACTAATTTGTTCAAGACATTAACTTAGTAAATAAAATATCCCACTAAATTAGTTTGTTCATCACGTAATTAATTCGTATGCTTTTTATCTGATTATAGTAAATATGATGCTTATATAATCACTCATGCGTAGAAATAGCGACTATTGAAATTTTTTGTGTTAAGTGTAGATAAAATTAATAAAATATAAAAAATATATTTGCAATAATACATATTTGTTTTATGCGTATTTAATTAATAAGTTATTAAAATTATGATAATGAAGATTTGCGAAGAGGTTTGATTAAATTGCTTTATTATCTCTTGAAATATAATTATCAACTTACTCTTTTAGATATACACAAAGCATATAGATTTTGATTTTATTACTAGATTTGAAGTACCATAAGAATAGAAGAATTTAGAAAATCTATTTAATTTTTAGCTTCATATTCCGTGTTCTTTACGCAAATATAACAAACGTTATATTTACGTACACATTAACATTATTGCTATTATGCATTAACAAATAATATGACATGCTTGAAACTACTATACATGCAGATAAGATTAATTATATTTAGAACAAAGTCATGTTTGAAATAATATATATTATTTTACATGCATATAATTAATAAACTTTTAACATTATGCTAGTGAAATTTGCGAATAGGTTTCGACTAAATTTACTTAGTATTTCAAAATTTGTAATTATTGACTTAATAAAATTTCCTAAGATATATAGAATTCATATAGATTTTGATTAGTTATCACAATTACTAACTTACTAATATTTTCTCAATTTATTTGATTCATATAGATTTTGATTAGTTATCACAATTACTAACTTACTAGTCTTTCCTCAATTTATTTGATTCATATAGATATTGATTAGTTATCACAATTACTAACTTACTAATATTTCCTCAATTTATATAATTCATATAGATCTTGATTAGTTATTACAATTACTAACTTACTAATATTTCCTCTATTTATATAATTTCATATAGATTTTGATTCTTTATTACTACATTTTATGTACCATAAAATAGAAAAAATTAAAAATTTAATTATTTCAACTTAATATTTATTTAATTCTTTTCGTAAATTATAACATACGTTAAACATTAATATTAATGCGACTTACATATTAATAAACATCTAAATTGTTTTGTTTCCGTATTGAATAAACCAAAGAAATTAATATTATCAAATATACCGCTTTACAATTAACATAACATTTCTACGAACTAATGATCTCAAATAAGAGAGTAGATACCAAGCCAATAATTTATAAAATTAAGATCAACTATTATAATTAATTAGTTTTGCTTCAATCCGTTGCAGCAACGGAAGTTCAATAGACGCGCCCTTTACGAGCGTGTTGACACTGATATCCATCTGTCTCTGTTGTGAATTCCATGCAAAATCCTCTCATAACCCAAACCCCCCGATCCTCTCATACACACTCCCTCTTCACTTTTTAGCTCATTCTCACACTCACAATTGTCCTTTAATTTCCCTTTTTGCCCCTCATTTTTTCCAATTTTCCGTTCCCAACCCTCAAACAGATTTTCCCAATTTTCTTAATTACCCATTTTACCCTCTTAATTCCCATCCCCAGATTACCAGAATTAAAACGCATTCCTTTATAAGGCAACACACCACTTCTCTCTCACTCACTCTCTGTTTCTCTCCTTTTAGTTGCTCCCCTTCAATTCCGAATCGAAACGCCTCGCTTTTTCCTCTCTCTCTACAAATCACACACACACACACAGAGTCACTTTTCTCTTTCTGCATTTGAATTGTGTGAGGCGTACGTACGTCAATGGCGGTTCCTCCGACTGTACTACCTGCAACGCCGGCATCGTTGTACGTTGGTGACCTTCACCATGACGTAACCGATGGACAGTTGTTTGATGCTTTCTCTGAGTTCAAAAGCCTTGCTTCTGTTCGCATCTGCCGTGACTCATCCACTGGCCGTTCCCTCTGTTACGGCTACGTTAACTTTATTTCTCCTCAAGACGGTATATATCTCTATATCTCCCTATTTTTATCTCTTTTTCCAAGTATGTACATTGATTGGTAGGGTCTCCGTGTGTACGTGTCTTGTTTTTATCGATAGAAACGTTACTTCGTGTGATCGGGTTCAAAATTCAACTGAATTTTGCTTTTGCATGGCAAATTTGGATCAGAATTTCCTGTTGAATTGATTTCATGATTGATCAATCGATTATTGAATAGACTCTAATGTACAAGTTTTGAGATTTTGTGTTTACGGTACGGACAAGCCACTAGTTTAAGTGTCTTAGTCTATTAACGTTGTGGTGCTGGTTTTGGCTGTTAATAAATGGATCAATAAATTAATCAGATAGCCTGAAAGTGAGAGAAGAAGATAGAGAGGGCGAATGTCATTTTTGCTCTTTAAGATTAAAAAAAATTAAATTGAATTATTTACTGTGTACTCATGCATGATGTTGCTTTTGGTGTACTGTATGCTAGTTCTGTCTTGTGATAGAAAAGATGTATGATATCAAATGCTGAGGAATTGATTGTCTGATTTGAGTGATTTTTCTGCTCCAAGTCATTTGATTTGATCTGTCACTGACATTAGCTGTTAGGAATATATGTTTGTTGGTGCTCTATGAAATAAGAGGTATATAAGTGGATATCTTGTGATTTTATCGGCTATAACTGGAAGGAAGTTTATTGTTTTTTCCGGTATGAGTCATTTAGGTAGTTCTTCTTACAAGTTGGATCCTTTAAGGTTGACATTAATTACATGATGTTTTTTAGGTCCTTGATGATTCATTGGTTGGATGGTTATTCTAGATCTCGATCTTGTTGTAATACTCGTTAATTGCTTTGTCGTTTTGGAAAGTTGAGAGACTACGGAAGCAAACTTCATTAACTGTAGTTTAGTTGCTTTTATCGGCTAACAGCATGTATCATTCATAAAATATTGTGGATAAGCGGATATTATCTTACCTGTGATTTTGGCGTACAAGGGATGAGCTAACCTTTTGATTATATGCCATCCCCGTCTAATGGAAAAATAAAATTCAATTGGGAAATAAAACTATTTTCCCCACATGAAGTGTGTGATATTCCAAGAAGATATCGAAACTAGTGTAATACTTAATGTGTTAGTAAGTTTTTCACTGACGGCTGATAATCGTTGTTGTTTTTTCCTGTCCTGTGATATTTGCTGCCTGTGATATTTGCTTAGAAAGTTCGTTCTGGTTAGCATTTATTACACTTCTATTTATTGGACCAACGAGACTTGAGGGACAATGATAGTGCTCTTTAATTATCTTTGTTGTGTATGAACTGCTGTCGTATATGGTTGACTTTTTTTGAAATACTATGTGGTTTGATTTTTAACTTGGAAAGCTTCTTTTGTTTCTGAAAAATATGTGCAGCTATACGCGCTATTGAGGTGAAAAATAACTCCACTCTCAATGGGAAAGTTATAAGGGTTTGCTGGTCTCGTCGTGACCCTGATGCGAGAAGAAGTGGGAAAGGAAACGTGTTCGTCAAGGTATGAGCATCCTTTGATTGAGTGAATAGTGTTCAATTGATTTGAGATCTTAACAGTTTCTCTATTTTTGATGCCTATCCAAATTCTTATTTTTACAGAATTTAAGTGATACAATTAACAATGCGAAGCTTCAAGAAATGTTTCAAAAGTTTGGAAATACCTTATCTTGTAAAGTTGTCTTTTCTGAGGAAGGGAACAGTAAAGGATATGGCTTTGTCCAGTTTGAGTCTGAAGAATCTGCGAATGCTGCTATTGAGAAGCTTAATGGGACCATGGTTGGAGACAAGCAGATGTATGTGCATCTCCGTATTTGTTGCAATCATCTAGCTTTCCATTTGACAATCATGATGAACTTAAATAAATTGATTGTTTTGTTGTTTATAAGCTTCTTATCTTAGTCTATGTATTTATGAATATCTTATGACATTGATGGCATAGGTATGCTGGTAAGTTTGTCAGGAAGAGTGACCGGATTTTGCCCAGTCCTGATGCTAAATACACAAATTTGTACTTCAAGAACTTGGACCTTGACATCTCGGAAGAGCATCTTAGAGAAAAATTCTCTGGGTTTGGGAAGATTATTAGCTTGGTCATTGCAAAAGATGAGAGTGGAGCTTCAAAAGGTTTTGGATTTGTGAACTTTGACGATCCTGATGATGCTAGGAGAGCAATGGAAGCTATGAATGGATCACCAATTGGTAAGTCATGGCTTTGTGATGCTGTTGTATTCTCAATGTGATTGCAGACGATCCATTTATTATTTTGTCTGAGACATGTATGCATTAAGTAGGCTCCAAGACCTTGTATGTAGCCCGAGCACAAAAGAAAGCAGAGCGCGAACAACTTTTGAAGCGTCTGTTTGAGGAGAGAAGGAAGGAGCAAATCATGAAATACCAGGTCCTCATTCTCATTTCTTTATCACAAAGAAATTATTGTATTTATGATCTATTTATGTAAATACTTGGATTATCATGTCAGGGTTCAAATGTGTATGTCAAGAATGTTGACGATGATGTCTCTGATAATGAGCTGCGCGAGCTGTTTAGCCAATGCGGCACAATTACTTCTGCAAAAGTTA